TCGAATTTAGATACAAAATTGAATCTAAATACAAAATTGAATCTAGATACAAAATTGAATCTAGATACGAATTTGTATCTTTCAAGAAAATTCTATTTTTAGAGTTGACGATTCATCTTTTTCTTACTCAAGTTTACATAACGGCAATAATAATAAAAATAATAATAATAGGAATAAAATAAAAAAAATAATATAATATTATAATAAATAAATAAAAAATTATAGAGTGAGAGCACCCAGGGCCGCTCACAATGTACATACAAAAATTCATAAATGCAGATACCATATATACAAATTACTACACCAAAACAAGATTGATATAAGAATCATATTACAAGTAAAAAAGAAGCTCTAAACGTCCATATCAAAAACAGTCAATTCTGCTGCCTTCTGATATATTTAAATAATTACTAAATTCAATTATTCATATTCTATATAGGCAGTCAGCCTCAGGAAGGATAATGCTATATAGTACAAACTTAGCCACATACAGCGTAATATCGGTTATTTTTTCAAGAACATATCTGACTTTCATTTATAAAATTTATTCTGATAATTTTGATTAAGCAGACCTCTAGAATTAGATTTTATATAATATAAAAAATGTATCATGAGTATCAACTTTAAGATTTTGGTACAATTTATTCTCAATAATACTATCCATCATATGTACTGTACCATATAGGCAGAAATTTTTAGTAGAGTGCTGTGACTATATAAAATTAGGTAATTATACTCATAAAAACTAATAAGTAATGGATCAATTTTGGATCATTCCAGGTTATTTTTAGCTAATCAGTTCGGTATACTGCTTATAAAAACTGATAAGTAACTAATAAGTAACTCATAAGCAGTTTTACAAACACCAACAAATAATTACTTTTAATATTATTAATCACACTGTATTATATATATTATTAGATCAAATCCTATTTAATCTCATCATTTAACTTAAATAATCACAAAATTGAAGATTTCCTCCCATATGCGTACGTATCTATGTTAACTCAAAAGGCTCAATTGTATCAAAAAAGGAAATATAATAATACCAAACTATTACTATATTTGCTTATTAACTCATAAATATATTACCCTATCAAGTTTGTTTGTATTAATATAAAAGGAATATTTATTAATTCAGCCACCACATAATCAGTTCTAGTTTAATTCAAAAAAAAAATAAATAAGCCAAAAAAGAAAAGATCACATATTTTTTGCATAAATTTAAAATCTGACGTTTAATAAACAACGTACGTACTTAAATACATATATACAAATTCACTATAGCTGTATTTTCAAGATGACTTTGAAATTTTTTGATCGACTTTCTCAAGATTTTACTCAACTTTAAAAAGCAAATATGATTATAATGTGGTAATTGAAGTTGGTAAACAACCGAATATCCAACTTTTTAAACCACATTTAGTAATTTTATACCAATGTTCATTTTACTTTCACCAAAAATTTACAAATGAAGTTAAAAAAATATTATTATTGAAATAAAGTTGCCTCATATTTCTGTCAAAATATTCAAAAATATTATTAAGTAAGTTATAGTATAATACTATTATTTTAGAATATTTATTATAAACATTAATTCATATTCTTATTATATAGATACATCTATGGAGACATAGTTTCTTTAGAAAATTTTGAAGTTTCAGATATATTTGATTTTTTAATCGCTGCAAATAAACTTGAGCTTATAGAATTAGCTGAATCCCTCCAGTTTCACCTTATTAATATTAATTCATCTTGGCTTCATTTGAATTTTTCTTGTGTATATCAAATAAGCTTTCTTAGTGAAAATTTTAAGTCTTTGCAGCAATTTTGCAATAATATATTTGTAAAATATCCAAGCATAATTTTTAACTCTGATGATTTTACTAGTCTTCATGAGAATACTTTAATCACTCTTTTAAAAAATGATAGTTTACAAATTGAGAAATCAGAAATTTGGGATAAAGTTATCTTATGGGAAAAGACAAAAACTTCAAATTTACCACCTAATCTTAAAGATTGGACTAATGATCATTTTAAGTCTTTAAAAGCTACTCTTAAACAATGTCTTTTTCATATTAGATACTTTCAAATTCCTGGCAAAGATGTATTGAAGAGAATTAAACCCTATTGAAGTATTCTTGAGAATAACTTGTGGGATAACATTATGTCAAGATTTGCAGATATAGATGAGCCTATTACTTTTTCCATTTTACCTTCTCGTAAAAAAGTAACTGTACAACTTTCTTCTCGAAAAGATTCAGTTATTTCATTATCATCTTCAATAATCACATTACAGCATGCAGCAGAGATTTCATCATGAATTGATTGATACTCAACAATCTATGATATCGCAAAAATTCCATATAAATTTAAACTTTTACTTAGAGGTAGTAAGAATGGATTCACAGGTGAAGTATTTCATAAGTTATGTGATAATATACCTGGTACTGTGGTTGTTGTAAAGATTAATAGTACAAATGAAATACTTGGTGGTTATAATTCTCTTATTTAGAAAATTGGTAGCGAATATGCTGCAACCAATGATGGCTTTCTTTTTTCTTTAAAAAATGGAAGCCTGGATCAATCTATTCTTAGTCATGTAAAAAATACAAAAAGGTAATTGGGCATGCTACAAAATCACAAGGTCCATGGTTTCATAATGACCTTGGAATGGGAGATTGTAATGACCCTAAAAAATGGTATTGTCGAAAGGATTCATATGATAATTCTATTAGAAATACAAATAAATAGTTTATTGTAGATGAATATGAAGTATTCCGAATTTGTAAAATATATCTGCTAATTAGAGTTATTATATTATTAGCATATAAAATGAAAATTTTACTTAATATGATTACTTACAATAAATATTCATTAATAATTTAGAAAAACTTAAAATTCAAACAATTATTTATGAAAAATTACATATGATTCCTATACATGGAATTTAATTATTGTGCTTTTGAAACAATTTAATTGCCAAATATTTCGTTTTTTGTTATGTTTTAATACGAGCTTCACAAATAGCTGCACTGCTTAATATATTTATATATAATGAATTCAAATAATTCAATAAATTTAACAATGCACAAAATCTACTGTAAAATACTAGAGATTCCTGGTTAATTAAAAAAAGTTTTAATAATTGAAATTTTCCATTATTTATACTACAGTCATCCTCCTCTATAATCACACAGTTTGTTTTATATAAAAAAGATATGATTATAAAATTTTAATAGTAATGTGATTGATTATATAAAGTTTTTTATAATTCAAAAAATAGTGCTTACAAAGTGGGTGTGACTGTAGAGGAGGACGACTGCATTTGTAAAATAATATAGCACAAAATTATAAAATATTTTATATATAAAATTATAAAAGACTGTTTGATGTATATCTGGCTAGAGGTTCCAGATTTGTTTAAAAGAAAAATTACCTGAAAAAAATCAAGACACACTATTTGTCACTGTAAAAAATTGTATAGGAGTTGCAACTAAAATTTAAGGTCTATTTATTGTGGTTTGCAAAAAAATGTGAAATTTGCAGATCAAAAAAAAAGATTTCTGATTCTGATTGCTGATTTTTTCAACATTTTTTTGCAAAAACAAAAGTTGTAGATTCATTTTGTAACATATTTTGATTTAACATATTTGTAGGAATATATTTTGCATACTCTTTATGTTGTAAAGAACTTGATTGTGTAATATTAAAATTTGCTTCTTTTCTAGCCCGGCAAAATTTATTATTGCATGATAAGCAAGAAGAAAATTTAAAAGCTGCACTAAATTCAATCTTATAAAGATTATTACATAATATTGCTAAGGAACTTTAGTATAACTTATATTTTCATTACAATAAATTTTAGAAGTTGATAAAAAAGACATTTGTGCATCTAAAGCATGCTCTGTGATAATAATTTTAGTTATTAGAAATGAATTTTTTTTAAAAAAATGTATGCTAAATAAATATATATAAGACTTTATATATTATAATATTAGTTGATTCAAGTGTTTTTTGGGGCACTGCTGGTGCCCTTTAGGGATCATGGTTTTGATTATGTTTTTGATTAAATATGTTAAAAGTTTTATTAGTGTTGGTTTTAAAATAGTTTAAAGTTCAGGTTTAATATATATATATATATATTTGATTAATTTTTGGTTTTTGTTAATTTAATTTGTATGTTTAATTGTTTATAAGTTTTATAAAGGTTATTATTAGAGTTTTTTTTTGAATCATTATTGTGATTATTAAAATTTTAGATCAGGGCGTTTTTAATTGTTTTTGTTTTTAATGTGTTTGAGATTATTTGTTTTAGAAATATTTAATTTTTAAGGTTATTATTGTTTTAAGTTATTATTATTGGTTTAATTATTGTTTTATAAAATTGGTATATATTTGTTTAGGCTAGTAAGGTTTGTTAGTTTTATGATTTGAATGTATATATATTTATATGTTTTTTTTTTTTTTACTTTTTAAAATAATTATATTTTAAGACTTTGTATTATATTACAATTATATAATATTTGGTTATGAATTAATATTTTTTATTTAGTGGGTTAGTTTTTTAATTAAAAAGAGAGATAGATTGAATAGAAAAAAAAAAATGCTGTTTTAAAAAGTGTAAGATTTTTTTTTTGTTGTTTTTCATTTATTTATTTTTATTTAAATTGGGTATTTATCTTTTTCTTCTCGTTTCCACTTTTTTCAGTTCTGTTTTTATTTTGATTTTATCTTCATTTAATTTTTTATTTTGGTTATCATTTGTATCAGACTCTTGATTGAGCTCTTCTTTATTATTATCTTGTTGATGCATTTTTCTTTTACCTTTTCTATTTTTATTTTGCACTGATTTTATTTTCTCTTTATTTTATTTTCTGTTTGAAATTTTTGTTTTTGTTTATTATTGTTGGTTTTATCATGGTCGTATGATTTTTTTTTTTTTGTTTGAAATTATTTTGTTATCTTCGTCAGTTGAATCAAGATCTTTTTCTTTAGATATGTTTGGGTCGACCAGCTCGTTTTTCTTTTGTATTGTTGAAAGTATTTTAATATTTATCTTATTAGCTATTCAATCTAAGTCTGTAAAGGTATGTGTAGTTGTTTGGAAAGAGTTTTTGGTCATGTTATAACTGTTTTCTTGTCTGAGATAGTCAATGTCTGTTGCTTCTACCATGGTAACAGTTGGTTTAATTATGTGTAAGAACCCTGATACTTTTATGGGTTTGTTGATTTTAACATTGGCACATAGGTGGTTAAATCTACTGCGTTGTGTTGGGTATATAAACATTGTGATTCGCAGTACAGAAGTTATATTCTCATGTTTCTACTCCAAAATGAGTAGTTTCGTTTAAAGTTTTTAATTCTCGGATGACTATTGCAATGAACATTAAGTGTGGGGTATTGAGTAGAATAATTTCAGCATTAAACTTATCTTTTGAATCTTTTTTATTTATTATCATAGCCAAGGTAATTTTGATGAACTGTTCTGAATTTTCTATAACAAATTTTCCCACAATAGATACTATATCTTCTACTGAGAAGTTATTGTTTGATGAATTGAAATGTTTCTAGTGTATAGTTGTAAAAGTATTTTCAGAGGGCTGGTATTGTGCCATGCCTTGTGTAAATTGATTATTTTCATTTTTTGTAGTTACAAATACAACAATTGAAACGTGGATAGGCAATTTTTTTTTCTTTCAAGTGTGATGAATGTTTTTTTTTTGATTGAAATAGTTAGGTGTTTAAGATGCTTTTTTCTTATGAAATGAATATTTAGTGTGAGTTTGCTCATATTGTCATTTCCTTAGCTAATTATATTTTGTTTATTATTATTATTTTTATTATTTTGTTTTTTTTTAATTATTAATTTTTTTTTTTACATTTTAATTATGTTATATGTTTTATTTATATATATATATATTATTCTTATAAACTGTTGTTTTGGTATAAAGTTATGTTATAATGGTATAATTTTTTTTTCATGAATTTTAGTAAATTATATTCTTTGGGTTTTTATTAATTTTTTTTAATTTTATTTTTTTTTATTTTAAATTTTTTTTTTAATTTTTTTTTTTTTAATGAATTCGGCAGTCTTGCCTTCACTTTATTAGGCTTTGTAATAATTATCTAACCTATTAAAATTTTCTACAGAGCTATACTCTATAGTATCTAAATTAAAATTGGAGACTCACCTGGTTGCTCACTGAGTACCTATGTGTGACCTGCTATAGTAAGATTTGTCTCTGTATTATCTTATCCTGCAATTGGCTTCAATAATATATCATTAGCTAGATCTTATCATCTGTCAAGACTATATATTAGTTTTCCACCAATCTGCCTCCTTTTTAGTTATCTCTAAAACTGAACTCCACCTTTTATCCTCGTCTACATCTTTATCTTTTTCCTTTTCTTTAATACGTTTATCAGGTGGTTTCTTCTTCTTTTTTTTCCTTCTTGTCTTTTTATAAGTTCTTCTTTTATCTTTTGGCATGATTCCATTTTCCTTCTCTCATTCCTGTACTAATTTATATCTTGCAACTCATATTCTCTTATAAACCTCTTTCATCCAGTTCTTCCAAAGTTTATCTAGAAAGTTCTTTGCTTGGTTGTTTGAGTTGAAGAGAGGTCTCAACTCATCGAAGTCTTCTTTTGTGATTAGACCTCTGATCCATCTTTCTCTTCTATGTGATTCTTCAGCTTGGGATCCCTTTCCTAGCATTGTTAAGACTTTTTCTTTGGTTGTTTTCATACTTTTTACCTTTTTTAATTCAAACAGAGTTGCTTCTACTACTTACTTCTCTAGATCATGAAGTAGGTTTAGGGAAGTTTCACAGCTTACTAGGTGTTTTACATTCTCCTTCTTTTTTTTATATATAACACATTTATCTGTCTTGTATGTTTCAGGCCTTCTTCGATTGAGTTTTTCAAATACTGGGAGCATGTTGTTTATACACTTTGTTTCGAAGAGCTATAATGCGTTTGATTTAAAAGTGTAGTTTCATTGTCTGAATAAACTCTCATTATGTTGCGCAACATGGACCAGGATTGAGTACTCTTTCTTTCTTGATAAGTTTCATTATACGTATTGTGCAAGAAAGCCCATTCTGCTTTCAATAGCACTCTCCCTATTATTTTAACAAAAGAACAGATAGGCTTTTCAACTAATTTACCTTCCCATATATATCTTATTTTGTAGCCTTTTGTATGTAATGCTTCTGGGTTTAGGTACTCTGTTGACTTGGACCCTTCCTTTGCTTTCAAATCCACAAGATTGTTAAATATATCACCTGAGTAACCCTTGATCTTTATAAAGTGCGTATTCAGCTTCTTTGTTTTGATTACCTCTACAATTGTTGTTACTAGACCACAATTCTTAGTCTTTAACCAAGATCTTATCTTGTCTGTCTCTAGACCCTTTTTGATTGCCAATATTGCTACTTTGCTATCCGTTTGTATCTCTACCCTTCTTTCCCAAAGTGTTGTTAGTAACACGAGTAATATTGCTACCATTTTAGCTCTTGTAGATAAAAACCACCTCCTTGTTGCACAAGATATTTGACGTAAAAGCTGTCCCGATTCTGTAGTTTGAATTACTCCATATCCTATTACTAACTTATCTTTAACCTTAGCAGTACCAAGTGAGCTATCTGTATAAAAAAATAAACTATCTAAATCTCTATTATGTTCTAAACTTTCTGCTATTCTTGATCTAATTATATCATCATGAACTATTCTATTAACTAAACCTATTTCCTAACATTTACACTTTATAACTATTTTACTCTTCTCCTTTATTTTTTCCAACTCTTTTGCTTTAATTAACACTTTTTCTTTCTTTTTATCAACTATCTTTTCAATATATCTTTTTTCGAAAATCAACTTTGTCTCCTTTTCTGTTTTCTGAACTATGTTTGAAATGTTTCCAAGTTTTCTACATTTAATCATATAAGTTTCTCTTCTTTTATCAATTTCTAACAACTGCTGCCTTTCGTTCTCATGACAAAATATTGCTTCTTTATATTTTTCAACTTCTATATAGACATTTTCTTTTTCTTTAATTTTTCCTAAGTTGAGTATTGCATTTGATTCATCTTTCTAGCAAACCATTCTTTTAATCTTTTGTCAGCACTTGGTTCTTTTGTCTTTAATCTAAGTGCATTAACATTATTTGCTATACAGTTATATCTATTTTTGACTACTCGTATAAGAGAATTTTTTAATATTTCATCTTCTAATTTAGCGAACCAGCTTGCTTTTTTTTCTTTTAAACTTATGCTACTTGCCAATTTGACTTGATTCCATGTGTGCATTGTTTTGCCATCTTTTGCAATAAGTTGTGATACCAAAACTAGACCTAGACTACTTGCTTTCATTTTTTTATAAGCTATGTTCAAATACTCAAAGACATATGTGATCTCTTCATCATTTGCCATTCGTGTAATGTCTAAATCCCAACTCTTTGTAATTTCATTTTCTTCTATTACAAAGCCCAGAGTGCATGGAAATTGACAAGGCATAGGATTGATTTTCTGGTCACGTGATTTTCCGACATCATATAAAAAAATTCATTTATGTTAGGGTTTGAGTCAGGGTTTAGATTAGGGTATGGGTTTGAGAGCTATAGTATAGTAAAATTGCATAAGAAAATTTTTTTGTTAGGGCCAAAAAGGCGATTTACTAGTAGTGATATGGGCCGACCCGGAAAATATCGGCCGGGTATCTTCAGAATATAGACAATAAGGCAACATTGGATATGAATCTCTTATTAGGATCAGAAAAAAGGGATCAAATCGGATTTGAATAACTTTCAATAGATGTTTAAATGGTGGGAGAAGTTTTGTATCTTTCAGAATTTTTCAAAATCATTCATAAAAGGTTAGCCGGGTCGGCCCTGGCCAGCCTTGGCCCGAAATTTTTTCATCGGCCCATATCACTATTTACTAGTCTATATTTCATGTTAAACGTAAATTTTGCAAAGCGAACATTTGTTTTGATTTTCTTTACATTACACCTGATTTTGATTTTTAATTGGCTAAATATATATCAGAAATCATGTAAACAGAAAATCGATCCTATGCCCTGGCGTTGTTGAGTGTGTGCCTGTTGCAAGATGTTTATACCTAAATTGCAACCATTTGTTACTTTTTTTTTTAACACATTCTGATTTGTTAAAATACAGTTCAGAGATCCTGCTCTTAACTGGCCTTGCTTGAGCCTTCTTGTCGACGATTCTTCTAATAAACCTGGTGTATTCAATCTAACTAGTAATTTTGATATATGATGCTCCATGTGTTTATTCCAAAGACTTTTGAGGTCTGTAATCTCTGGGTGTTTTGTTATTATGTTTGCTATCATAGATGGTATCGACATTTTCCACTTTATTAGACAAATCATTAGTTGGTATATTCTCTCACACTGTGCTTTAGTTAGACATAAGATCATTAATCTATATTCAAGAGTAGGTATAAAAATTGCATTGTTTATGTAAATAATCTGGCTCAAGGACATCTGTTTGTGCTTGAGTAAGCCTGTGATCTTGCCTACTATGCATTTCACTTTTAAAATATCAGACTTTTTTTGGCTCTTGATTAACATCTAGACCCCTAAAAATCTTGTGGTTTCTTTCAGATCTTTTGCTATAACTTTGATTTTTAGATTACCCATCCAGATTGCAGAATTTTTTGCATGCTTTTTTTTATCTGGATTTAACACTACGAGTTCGGTTTTGTTCGAATTTATTTCTATATCATTTAACTTATAGACTCTTGTATAATGTCAATTGTCTTTTGCATGCTTTCTTGACTATTTGTCAGCCACAATATGTTGTCTACATATGCTAATACTCCTACTCTTATATCTACTTCAGTGTCTTTTGAGTTCATATGTGCTTCTAAATTGTGCATAGCTTAGCATCTTGTACTCTACAGAGCAAAAGATCATAGAAAATCCTCCAAACCAAAGGGGACAATACCTCTCCTTGGTCTATACCATCTCCTGCTTTTACAATACCTCTCCTTGGTCTATACCATCTCCTGCTTTTATAAAATCTGTACCCCAAACTCTGTTATAATACTAAGCTGTCTATTCTCATATAGTTCCATTATTATCTCAACTATTTTCGCTAGAAGTTTAATTTTTTCTAGAGCTTTCTTTAATGAAACTATACTAACCGAATAGAAGGCTTTCTTCATATCTTGAAATGTGACCCAGAGTTCTTTTTTTCTTTCTACCTCTTCTTCTATTATTTTGTTCATTATGTGAATAGGGGTTGATGTATTTTCTCCAGACAACCCTGCAAAATTTGCTCCTTTTAATATACTATTTCTGCTCAGAATCTT